AATCTCGTTTAGAGCTATAAAACTTGGTAGTTATATGTAAAATGGGATGTAGAACAATAAAAGTTAATTAAAAGAGTATGATAAAAAGCATGGTTTTGAAAAAACTTGAGTTTTGTTTTAGCAAAATTTGGTACAAGTAATCATTGGGAAGAGTTAGTGAATTGTGTCCGATAAATCTTTTTAAAAACTATGTATTTTGATTGGCTAATTATCACAGGAATTCACAGGTAGATCTACAAAAATTACCCAATCATATGAATGTCGTTCTATGAGTCGAAGTCCGGATTCAGACCCGATCCGGATCCGACTAAGTTGCCGAAAAAAATTTTCTATAATCGGTATTGGTATATAAAAAATATATTTTTGAATTCGAATTTACTGTAATATTGATATAATATCTATGTCTAAATTACACTTTTGGTCCAATTTCAAAAATTACTATAATAAATATAAATATAATACCTGTTCTACGTACAAATAATTTTATTATTATAATGTCAACATTATTAAAATTTCGTTTGAATGCTTGCCCAATATGTTTAGCATGTTTAACTTGTGCAAAAGTTTATGGAAAAGATTGTTCTTGTCAACCAATAAAACTTGACAAGAAATATAAAAAAGGCTCCAGATATCAAATTAGCTTTTATAGTAAATATATCACATGAATACAGTCAGACCTCGATATAATCACCAGGTTGGAAAACAAAATTTTGGTGATTATAAAAAGCTGTGACTATATAAAGGTCAAAATTTATAGGTTTTATAATAGCAAGGTCAAAAAAATAGCGTGATTATAACAAAGTTGTGACTATATTAAGAGTGACTATAACAAGGTCTGACTGTAAGTGCTAATATTAAAAAAGTTAAATACGATCAAGAATTCGTCGATTGGACTAAAAATTTAACTAAAGTCAAAATTCCAAAAGATCAAGGCTTAATTAATATTTGTCCAAAGTGCAGTAAAAATTATGATCAACATAATCAAAGCGAAACAGTAGATCTAACAATTAAAGAATCTTCATTGTCTATGACAAATACTTTTGAGTTACCTGACTTGTCTGAAGTGAACACAACTAATTCAGAAATTAATAATGAAAAAGATCCTGGATTGGATATTATTAACATGAAAGAGCCTGAATCAGGCAGGAGCTATTAATACGAAAGAGCCTTTTATACCTTTTATAAAATTGTTAAAAGTTTATAAAATAAAATTATGTATAAAATATGAAATATTATCTTTTTGTGCGTATATCCAAGTTGGTCCAAATTGTTGTAAGACTAATGTTACATCCCAACCAAAGTTTTTCTTTCATTAAAACTTGAAGATAATTTATATCATTTATGTTTAAAGAACGTGGTTTTCCTGAAAGTGATGGAAGTTTTTCAATACAACCATATCTTTGAAAATGCACAAGAACTCGACTTATAGAAAATCTGCTAACACCTAAGTGTTTTGCAATTTTTCAAGTTGATAGGCCTTCTAAATTTTTTTCAATAATTTGCCAGTGAATGTTGTTTGAAAGTATTATATTTTTTGAATTTAACAAGAGATGTGCGTAATTTTTTATTTATATTAGCCACCTGATTTTAAATTATGTATATATTACAGTATTATAACAATTTTTATTGAATTTATTATGCTAAAAAAATTACTAGGCAAAAATTTTTTTCGGCTAATTTTTTATATGTGTCCCAGGAATAATGAAAACAACTGTAACTAAACGGACCTCTGGTATTTTACAATAGAATTTTGTGCCCTGTGTGTAATATATGTGATTTGCTGATGATTAAAATTTAAAAGTGCGATTTAGTGTTTTTTGCAAATTTTACTCGTAAAAAAAAACAATTTTTTAAATAGTAATTTTTTAAATACTGCGCTTAGCTAGCAAATTAATATGCAATTTTTTAATCGGAGAATAAATTAATATGCAATTTTTAATCTGAGAATATAAATATGATATAAAATTATGTGATTTGGTTTAATCACACTAAATCACTCAATTTCTGTGTCCCTGGTCGTAAGTTATTGATGAAAGAAAGAAAGAAGTTTAAACGGCTGGAAGCAATGATGTTTTTGGCATTATTATCATCTGAAGTTGCAACCCCAGACAAATATAAATTCTAGATACAATATTTATATATTATAGTATTAGCCTTTTGAAAAAACTGTTTTTTTAAATACTTTTAATAGTTTGATCATTTGTTTATTTTGCATGTCATTATTGTTGAGATGTTATTTCTGAATTGTCTCTTGACTTGTGTAGCAAGAATTTAAAAGATGCTTTTTTAACCAGTTAGAATAGCTATATTTCGAAGAGATCAATCTAAATAAAAATGAGAAGTAACTGAGTCATGCCAAAAAAATTTTAAATAATTTTTTCAAAGCAACTCTTTTTGAAATATTAGAAAATTGGATGTTGTATCCATGATTTTGAGTATTATTTATATAAAAAGTCTTCCATTTTAATTAGTTTTCGTAATCAAATCAAATGACTTCTTATTAACAAATAAAGAAATTTAAGCCAGCACATTTAGAAACTATATATACAAATTATTTGGAATACATGTATGTATATATGTAACTTTACATCCAACCTTACATCCAACTTTACATCCAACCTTATATCCAACTTTACATTCAACCTTGTATCTAACTTTATGTCCAACCTTGTATCTAACTTTATGTCCAACTTTATATCCAACCTTGCATCCAACTTTACATTCAACTTTACATCCAACCTTGCATATAACCTTGCATCCAGCCTCGTACATGAAACTATATGAGTGCGGTCAAGAGAGAACATACACGTTTTTGTGCAACTGATTGATATAATTCCAAATAATATATTTTACAATCTAAAATAATTAGTTATATGTTATTCGGAGTCTAGAGATGTGACCTGATCATAAATATTCCAGTTTTTACATATAAAATTTATGACCGGGTCACATCTCTAATTCGGAGTTATATCAATGAGTTGTGCAAAAATGTACATGCTTTTTTTTGGCCACACAATATTATAGATTAAAATGTTAATCCTGATCAAAATAAAGGTTGGCAGTGTCTCACGGTGTATACTTCTTTGTGCAAATGACACGTACAAACTCAAAAAAGGAATTAGCCAATAAGAGAACATAAATCTTTCTTATATATATATGCATTGCCTCAGACTTACAACCGGTTTTTTTAAACTCCTTCATTATAAAAAAATGCAATCTGAATAGAATAATCCCTATTCAAATATTTCAGATCAGCAATATGGTAGGGCTTCTCCCTCTCAAAGTCAGATGGCTAGCCCTAGTATACCACAAACACCATCATCTTTCATCCACTATCCACCTTACTCGCCTTCACATATTCTACCAGATTATGATCATATTCTTATACAAAGTCCCAGGAGCACTTCAAGTACAATAAGCAGACAAAGTAGAATGAGCAGACAAAGTACAATAAGCATACAAAGTAGAATGAGCAGACAAAGTACAATGAGCAGACAAAGTACAATTAGCAGACAAAGTACAATTAGCAGACAAAGTACAATTAGCAGACAGAACAATCCAAATGTAAATAATAATAATTCTGATAATTCAGTAAACTTACTATTCACCCGAAAAAAAGAATACAGTATACCTTATTTGGTCATAATGAAGCTAATAACATAGCAAAAGAACTCGTAGATCAATTAAAAAAATTAGAACGCGATCTGCACAGTTTAGAAAGACTTACATGTATACACAGATTATATGATGAACTAAAAAAGCTTGGATGCATAAAGATAAAAAAATATCTTGAAGAACAAATAAAAAATAGAAATATTAGTGTATTGATTGAAGCAATAAACAAGGCAGCTCATTTGAAAAAGAAACTTGAAGAAAGTTATTCAACCGAAAAAATAGATTCATTAGAATATACATTGTCATATCTGCATAAAACGAAAATAACTGACATTGTGCAAGAAATCCATAAAATTCGAAATAATCACTCTTCAAATCAAAATAATCACCTCACTTCAAATGAATATAATCACCCCTCTTCAAATCAATATAGTCATCACTCTTCAAATCAGTACAATCACTCCTCTTCAGATGAATATACTTCTTCAAATCAATATAATTACTCCTCTTCAAATCAGTATAATCATTCTTCTTTAAATCAATATAATTACTCCTCTTCAAATCAATATAATCATCCCTCTTCAAACCAACATAATAGGAACTTCTCTTCAAAGTTAGAATAGCGGTAGGTCTTATTTACAAATGTGAGATGAGACAAATAAGTAACATTATGAAAGCTTATATACATATAATTTTAAGTGAATTAATATTTTGGGTAAGACAATTTAGTAGGGCTATATTTGTAACTAGAAACACTAGTCTAAAAATTTCACAGAAAAAACTTTTCTGCTAGGTTAGAGGTTGTTATTGTTCAAAGAACATTACGGGTAGAGACATAGTGACAGTTTTGTGTGTGTCTGCAAATTATGGATTTTGATTGGTCAATTAGATAAAAACAACCGAAAATAACCATATTGTCAGACTAATCTGTGTTTGTTCTTCGAACTCAAAAAATGGTCTCCATTTACCTAGTAATATTAGAAAGTTATTGTCTGAAGGACATTAATATATACTTGCTAGCAAAACTATTGGGATTTGGGATTTAGGACAAATTTTATTATATTTGAGATTTGGGACAATTTTATTATATTTTGGATTTGGAACAATTTTATTATATTTGGGATTTGTAACAATTTTATTATATTTGGGATTTGGGTGGGATTTTGAAATTTTTAGTTTTGCCAACATGTATACATTAATATAGAGGCATAGGATACCTAATGCCTGTGTGTCTACAAATTACAGCTTTTGATTGGCTAGATCAGGTGTGACATAAAAACAATCAAAAACAATATCAAAAATCGATTTATATTTTCTTCAGACTTTGAATGGTTTCCATTTTCCTAGTAGTTATACTGAAATTTTTGCAGTGAAAACTTTTTGTTAGTATGCATAAAGTAATAAACTAGTATATAATCTTTTAATTAGGGCAGTGACAAAGATTACGTAATATCCTGAGGGTGAGAGGGTCTTGGATATGAATAAATTTATAAACTAGCCAACCAAATTTCTCTTATATGGAGAGAGGATAGAGGTATAGTAAAAAAAATATTAAGTAATATTTGTCATCACTCTTATTACTTTTTTTATTTATAGTCTAGAAAGTATGATACTGAATATAAGTCTAAGCAATCAATAAATTTGTATTAAGATTTTTTGTAGTTCTCTGTATAATTGTTAAAAAATACAAAATCATAATTAAACTTTTTGTATTTTTTTAAAACATACTTCATAAAGTGAGTATGGGTATAAATTATGTGACGTTACTTAGAAGGAAAAAATTTTTGATTTGGTGAGAGTAGTGCTTTTAGGTCTGGTTCGGGATCAGTCTGGTCCGGGATCAAACCAGACTCAGACTCTAAATTTTACTGGTTTCGAACTTCAGACCAGACTTAAACTTAATTATGAGTCTGGTCTGGGTCCAGTCTGAAGTTTGCAAACTAGTTCGAGTCTGAATATATATATATTGATGCCAAACGAATTAGTTTGAGTCTAAACATGTTTGGTCCAGTCTGGTATGTTTTTTTGTGGCTTAGCTCATCATGTAAGCAGCTTTGTGAGCTAAGCCACAAAAAAAACATATCAGACCGAACCAACAATTGGATCCGTCCAAAAGGGTAAACCTAGTGTTTGCAGTAGAATTAATTTGGCAAATTATAGCTGTTTTCTTAATTTTGAAACATCTGGTAAAAAAAATTGACCGAATGTTTGGCTGATTCGATAAGTTAATGATTTTGACATTTTCAAAGTACATTAGTTATTGCTTTAGATAAGTTGAAAGCTATATAAATTTAGTTGCTATTGCTTTAGATAAGTTGTATATTTCGGATTCAACTGTAGTTACTTCAGATAAGTTAGAAATTTTTAAAAGGTTTACTATAGGTTTACTACAAATGAACAAGCTAAAAGCTTCTTAGTTGTTAGATCAACTGTTCAATAATTTTATCTGATTCTTTCTACAGTATTTTTATAATAATCATTATAATCTAAATTAAAACCTTTAAATAAAATAATACATAAAATTTTTGCTTTAATATTGTTGATTATAATTCTCATTTCAGCGCGATAATTACTAATAAAATCTTGGTTTCCTAGTCCAGTCAATGAATTTGTTTAGACTTTTTTTTTTTTTTTAATAATGTCTACTTATATAGTATATTTATTATGATTATTCAGAACCTTTTATATTTTGTATTAAGATTTATTGGTAGGCAAGAACAATCATTACCATAAATTTTCATATAGGCCAAAGACACCAAGTGAAATTTTAATTTTAAATGTGTTGACATTGTAGTTTAGAGTATTATTGCTATATTGAAAACTATTATTCCCAAATCACTGCTTAATCAAAACTTATTGAAGCAGCCAAATATCAGTTGGCCAATTTTTTAGCAGATATCCCAAAATTTACGAAAACAGGTGTAATACGGTTATGGCATGAGCCGTATTATTTGTTATAATTACTTTGCACTGTAATACTGCAATGCCGTTATATTGAAATACCATAATGCTATTATATCTAAATATTATAATACTATTGTTAATACTGTGATGCTGTAAATAACATAAAATAGCATAGGATAACATTCCGCTAGTGTTCTTGTTTAAAGTAATTTTTAGAATTAAGATAATGCACAGTTAGTAAATTTACTGGCTTTGTGAATAGGTAATCATTGATCATCAAAGTTTATAGTGAAGAATCTAAATTTTTTTTTACTGTTCAGTCAAGGTTATTTCTTATAGCTGGGAGTAAAGTTTGTTCTAATGCAAAAGCAATTAATGATTGACGTAAATACTCAAGCTGCAGATCTACAACATACGTATTATATTTATAATTAAATTGGTAACAGTAAAGCAAGTTATGTTATATTTCAATCCTGGGTAATGAATAATTAAAATTGGTTATTAATTTAAAGAAATCGGTGTTAAAAAAAATGAACACAAAGCATTCAAATATATTATTAAAAATCTGGTAGTAATTTAATTTTAAACTATAACACAAAGCTAAGTGTTTAATTATATAATTAAGTTCCTTTTCTTTAAACTATCCGAATTAAACTTATTGGTTAGTGAATTAAGTGTTAGTTAAATAAATGTGCTAGTAAAATAGATATGTTGATAATTAATCATTAGTGTAAATGTCTGTAAAATAAACTTTTTGTGATGTCTTGTATCTATAAAAGGAGCATAAGTAAATTGAGCAAAGCTAGTTTAATAAATAGCATCAAGATTACTTTATTAAATTAATGCGAAATTAAGTTGCAATATAATAAGCATATTTATTGTTAATTACTTTTTAACACGAATTGCCAAATATACTGTTTAATTTGATATTCATATTCCAAATTTGATCTTTATTTCCCAAAAAATATATTAATTTTGAAAGACCCTAATAAAAATTCGCTACTTCCTTAAAGTATACTGATTAATACCATAATAAATTAGTGATGCCAAGAGAAATGTAACTTTAATCATCAAAATTTATATGATTAAGATTTCATTTACTTAAAATAATATCTAATATACTTATTAATGTGAAATTAAGGTATAATGTAAATATAATATATATCTACAATTTTAAATATCTTATTTTTAAATGTATATTGGTTAATAAAAACTATCTATTGGTAAATATTCAAATTATTCAGAAAACCTTCTTGGCAAAAATGCCTTTTAAAATAAGCAATAGGAATTTTTAATATAGAATATAATAAATTAAAATATACTTTATTATTGTTATGATTATTTGTACTTGTGCCTAGTGATAGTGTTATAGAATGAGTTAACATTATAGAATATATTAGAGATTTTATCTCTATTAGATCCAGAAGATCGTAACGATCAAAACAAGCTATAATACATAACAAACGAACTATCGGTTAGCTAGATAATAACTTTTGTACTTGTTATACCTTTTGTACCTTTTATACCTTTTATACCTTTTATACTTTTTATACCTTTTGTACCTTTTGTACCTTTTATACCTTTTATATGTTTAGTACTTTTTATACCTTTTATATATGTGTTGTAAAAGCTATATAAACTCTAGCTTTTACCCTTTTTGTACTAGAGGATTCATTTCTTGCAATGTTTTAAAATATTAGGATTCTATAAAAATAGATACCTATAGATAGCTTGGTGTTTAGATATTGTATTATAAATAAATAAACATATTTTTGCTCTAAAGTAAACCATATCTCTATGCTTCTAATAAATATACCGAACTGCCCTAATGAGGAAACATTCCACTTCCATACTGCTTCATATTTCACCCTGTTGTTTTAGAGATCCTTGTCACTGTGTGCTATATTGCAGGTGGTAAATTAAGAAGGCTATCCCACTTGTAACATTTTGGTACCTCCTGGCAGAAAGCTAAAAAGTCTCTACCGAAAAGCTAAAAGGTCTTCCCAGAAAAGCTAAAAAGTTTCCACCAAAAATCTAAAAAGTCTTTTCTGAAATTATGAAAAATCTTCAAAGAAGCTTGAAAATATTGAACCTATTAACTTGGATATTCTCTCCTATTACTAAAGATTACTTTATTTATTTGTGAACGCCTATTACTAAAGGAGTAATAGTGCACTTGAAAGTCCTGTCAAGTTGAAAAAGATTTGTACAGAAGGGCCACTTGAAGCCTCTGCTTTTGTAGCACCTGGAAAGTCCTGTCAAGTTGAAAGAGACTTGTACAGAAGGGCCACTTGAAGCCTCTGCTTTTGTAGTACCTGAAAAGTCCTGTTAAGTTGAAAGAGACTTGTACAAAAGAGCCACTTAAAGCCTCTGCTTTCATAGCAACCAGAGCTCACAGCTTATTGCAAACCTTAACCAAAAGTATTAAGTGCAAATTATCTATGAGCCAAAGTGTAAGCATAAGTAATCCCAACCCTGTAAATATAAACTTAGAAAATTTATGTCCTGAAAGTCTATATGATACTATCGAAGCTAGGAAGATTCTATTACTCTAAAAGTACTTAAATCCGGCACCTGCCCAAATCTTCGAAATAAAGTGCCATATCATATAATCAAAACTTATCCTTTAAATTATAACACAGACAAATTTGCCTGCGAAGATTTTTACTAATTTTTTTAATATTTAAATTTTTTAATAAAATTTTGAATAT